CCACATACGCACGTGTAAATAGTTGGCTACATCTTCGAGTCCCCAACAGTCTCAGGGTGAACAGGTGGTGAAGCTCAAAAGGCTCCGGCACCAAGAGCCTTTCAAGGGAGCAACGCTTGCAGCAGGGCACCGAGACCCAACGTCCCAACCGTGGCAGGTCGCGCTCTGCGGGCCCCACAGACCCTCCTGGTGAAGGTCTGATGAGCCTAAACCTGCTCAGTAAAAGCCACTTCACCAGATGGCAAACAGAACAGCCAGGGGAAGTGCCAAAATGGGGCTCCTATCCAGAGAGCACCCCTCGCAGCTGGACAGCCCGAAAAGCAGATCTGCTTCAGAACCGTCCCGGGCCCATTTCATTCGCCTTTCCTAAAGCAACAACTTCCTCACGAGTGTCTAGATGAGCACGTCCTAGCGGCACCTGACACCCTGTGGGCTGCCGCAAGCTGTAACGCAGCATCTCACGCCGCGGAACAAACCCTTAGTCTTTCCACTGGCTCTAACGTGGGCTCCATGCCCAAACAGGGCTGCCCTGCTCGGGCTGGACCTGCAGGCCATGTTCCTGGCCCGTTTCTGAGCCAGGCAGCTCTGCTCTTCTGCCTGTGCAGACTACAGTGTCGTGGCTCCCCCCCGGCAGCTGTTGACCTCTCTTCAAGTTGTTCAGGGTTAGAAAGGGTGCCATTACGCTTCTGTACGTGCCTGCCTTGAATATTTAGCTCTAAACGCCACCGCTAAGCACTTCTGCAGTCACTCGGTGCCCAGATGCCTCCTGCTTTCTGCAGCCAGGCTGCCAGAAAACGCTACCACTGCCTCTTCTTTAGAGTACAAAGTCCTTTCTCTGCAGCTCGGGGACAGCAAACACAGGCAGACAACGGCTGCCACGGCAGGTCTCATTGCTGGGAAGGTCAATGCCCCCCTTTGTACGAGGCCTTCTCCACAGCCAAACTCGGTGTCGGCTTTCCCGGTTCACGATGGGATCCCATCTCCGGGGCGATAAGAGCGGAGCGTCGGGCGCTCTGCAATAGCTGCTGTCCTGAATCCGGACAAAAAGCGCTCGGGCTGGCTGTGCTGTGACCCCGCACCGGCCCTCGCAACGGGAGGCTTAGATTTCCATGCAAAAAGAGCAGGATGACGTTAAGAGATGGGACGAACGGCACTAAAATAGAGCGCGAGTTTAGTAACACAAAAGTCAACGGTTGTTCACTGAGACTGATGTTCTCACTTGGCATCTCAACACCTGGAAGCGGGGATAAAAAAAACACCCTACAGACCCGGTTACTTCAGCTGATCACAAGACGTCTGAGCTGAAGTGAGGCAGAAAGGGAAGAGCAAACAATTGTGGGATATATCAGACAAGGTTATTTATAGCAGAGTAAAGGAAGTTTTAACGCCTTTATGCAGGGCTCTGGTAAAATCTCCCCCAGGATATTTTGTGTAGCTCTGGCCACGCAAAAAAAAATCAAGAAAAAGAACTTGAGTTGGAGGAGGTGCAGAAAACATCCACGGAAAAGAAAGCTGATTTTGAGAGAAGACCAAAGAGATTGGCTTGTTTAACCAAATAAAAATCAAGACAGGGAAATATGCCTGTCACTTATAAATACATGAAAGGAAGTAAATATTATGATGGTAGGAAAGATGGTTAAGCTAAAGGGCAGCACAGACAAAAATTTCTAGCCATCTCTAGAGCTAGGCTAGAAGCAGTGTTTTTTAATCAGAGCAGACTGATTCTGGGGCATCCTTCACTTGGAAGCAGTGAGGACAGGCAACCAAACCAGTTTTAAGCAAATGTGGTAAAACCATGAAAAACAGGACGCAGTTGACCAAGTTTGTCCTGACCACAAGTTTTCACAGGTCGGGTTCAGCAATGTCTTTGGTAGACACGAGATAGGGAGACAGGCCAGAGACAATGGCAAACAAGGGTGACGGGAGCAACCTTCAAAACGAGGCGCCCCAAGCTCGCCCTGCTCCCCGTCACGTAGCTGTCACCAAGCGCCAGCCTCATCGCTCTGCGCCCGCACAAGCAGAGCCACCATCCAGAGGGTGTTTTCAGGAAGGCAGCACGCAGAGGAAAGGGGTTTCCAACAACCAGGTCTGACTCAGAGCAGCCACAAGCCCAGGCAGTCAGGCAGCTTCAAGAAAACAAGAGATCCTGGAGCAAAGCTAGGCGGTAGCTGCTACTTCACATCTCCGTGTGTCCGTCTTTGCTTTCCGACTCCCTTCCTGAGTGCTTTGGAATAAACCTGAGTGTTTTTTTTTTCCCTCTTCGCTGAGCCACAGGGCGTCCCATGCTCTTAGCCCCCTAGCAGGGCCAGGGAAGCAGCTCTGCTCTCCGAGCACGATGCGGATTTACGCCGGGCTCCAAACGCCTCGCGGCGCGCCGGCCCAAAGACGTGTTTTGTCTACGGCAGCTGGAATCTGCTGAGGAGCAGGGAGAGGATCCGAGAGCCGGGTTCAAGGCAAGCCCCGCCACGACTCCAGCCAGCTGAGGAATAATCGCAGGGAGTTATCTAGAAGTGAAGCAGTCGCTTTCTTCGGCCTCCAGATAGGGAGCTCCTGCAGGCTTGGGGGCTGGGGACAACTTTTATTTTATTTTTAAATGAGATTATACCCATTTCTTAGCTACCTAAGAGAATTGAATACAGGCAACCACATCTCACTCTGACCCACCGCATCATCTCACAGGGGACAACCCTTAGTCTTTAAGTACAGGGGTTTGCAGCATCCAAACGTAGACGTTGTTATGCTGCGGCGTAGCTCACTTTGCCCCAAACACAGAGGGCATCCAAAGAAGAGACCAGAACAAATCGCCCTGAAGTTTTCCAGCCAAGCAAAACTCCATCCCAACCCTCCCAAACTGCCCACGCAGGTCCCCTTAGCCAGAAAGCAAATCCCCGTAGAAAGGGCTGGCTCCGCTCAGCGGCCAACGCTGCGTTCTCCGCTGGGGAGCCACCTTCCAGATCCACCAGTTCAGCGAGGCCACCTCAAGTGCCCAGGAGCCTGCGTCACCTCTTAGGAATCAATTTGGAGGGGAACAGATGCAACTCGCTTTGGGGCCAGCCCACAGGCAAGCATGGAAATCGCTCCCAGCCTTGGCTGAACCAGATGCCACCAGCAGTTGTCCTTCAAGGCTTCCTCCAGTGCAGCCCGTTTGCAGCTCCTCAAACGGCCGCTGGTTTTAGCAGAGGTGCCTCAAGGCTGCACAAGTTTTGTTGTAAGGTTGCTGAAATGATGTATCACCATTTTCATTTAACTCCTGGAGCTACCAAGGGGCAACGTTTGGCCAGGGAAGGGATACAGGGGTATTACAGCAACACAAAAAACTTCTTGCCATCAAAGGATACCAAAGCAAATACAAAATTCCAACCCAAAGTCACTACATCAGCAACAGAAGATCTTGATAACCCTTTCAAAGATCTTGAAACCCTTTCAAAAGATCTTGATCCCTTTCAAAACCCAAGGGATTTCCAAGCAAAGTGCAAAGCTGCCTCAGCCCTGGCTGCAATACGGAGCAGAGGGATCCATGCGGCAGGGGTAGGAGCGGGGGGCCCAGCGACCCTCAGGAGCCCCCTTGTTCCTACAGGTTCAAGCTGAAGGGGCTGCTCCTTTCAAGGATGCTGTCCCTGCCTGGCTGTGTGATGGTCACCGTGCTCATCACGGAACATTGAGCTTGGGAGGGACATCTAGGGATCATCTAGTCCGAGCCCTGCTCCAGCGGGGACACCCAGAGCATGTGGCACAGGGTGGTATCCAGGCAGGTTTGGAAGATCTCCAAAAAGGGGGGTTCTGTGGATTCCTGCCACCGAACGGCACGGGGACATCCAGCATGGGGAAGACAAGTGCGTGCTCCTCACCTGGCAATGGCCACCACCGCCTTCCTTCCCAAGCGGTCTCGCCAGCTCCGAAGTAAACTAAATGCCATGCTTTTTACTGGGAAACCAGCCTGCCCGGCCCCTTCTCCAACTCCCCTAAGTGCAGGGTGCAGCCGCTGCCCTCCTCCTCCTCCCCGCGGGATGGGCTCCAGCGCTAGCAGTTGCATTCTTGGGATTTCCTGCGTATCGTGGGCGTACGGCAGCCCCGATGCCCTCGTACGCGAGGTCTCGCAGCTGAGCAGGGTAGCGGCCTGGCTGCAGACAGATCTAAAGCAAAACTGCCTTCTGGGAGAAGCAGAGCTGTCAGACTCTCTTCTGACACGCTCTGCATCTCCCTCTGATCGTCTAAAACACAAGGGCTTGCTGTTCTTACCCCCTCACCAATAAATAAATAAAAATAAAAATAAACCTGTTTCAATTTTGCTCTCTAGGGAAGTTTTGCAAAACTGGAAAACTTCTTCCAAACCTTTCTCTTTTTTCCGTTTAAAATCAGACTTTCCTGAGCTGTCCATGAGGTAGGCAAGCAGCTGGTTGGCAATCATGGTTTTGGAGGTGTCTCTGCCCTCCTTCCACGCTAGCTTGACATTTTCTTGCTCTGAGTACCAATCCCCAAAAGTCACTTTTTCAGGTGTGACCAGCAGCCTGAGGGTAGGTTGGAAGAAGAGACCCCAAAGACCCCCAAAAGACCGAGGTACAAGGCCAGGAGAGACTGTGTCACGGGTGGTGCAGAGCCCTACTTGCAGAATGAGAGCTGCTTAACAATATTTTATTGCCACAGGGAAGGAAGCACCTCAGAGCATCAGAGCAGCGGTCCCAGCTCCCGAGGCAACATCTTCCTGTCAGGTCAATGTGCCCATCCTTCCTGGGGCTGGATACTTCAGATTAAGTGCAGCCCACCAAGCAGATCAATCACCACTTAAGAAAAGAGGTCTCCAAGTCTGCTGTAGAGAGAAGGAACTTTGTAATGAGGTGAGAAAAGGAATTTTCTTTAATCCTTCTTCTCTAAGACCTAAAAATTCTCCAGGCTGCCTCGTAGTCACCCCTGTGACCCATCCTATCAGGGGGGGCCTAGCTTAGCTCCTGCAGCTGCACATGGGATCCTGAAAGCAAGCCTTGGGGAATGCCATCGCTCACCTGGACTATTTCTCCATTGGAAGCAATTAAATCCATGGGGATGGAGACTCTGAAGAAGCGGCCCACCACGGCGGAGCTGTCAGGGATGCCCACCACAGCGGGGACAGTCTCTCGGAGGTCCGAGAGCACGGAGTGCATGGAGGCCTCCAGCTGGTTCTCCCAGTCCCGCACTACCTCGGCCGCCTCGCCGGGCCAGTGGCAGTGAACAGAGGCCGCCAGCAGCAGCATGGAGAGCCAAGTCCTCCCCCGGCACGGGGGCAGCGCTGCGGATCCCAGGGTCATGCCGTCCCACGATGACGCTATCCAGCCGCCGGGAATCTGGAGGCACCGCAGGGCAGGCAGGGCGGCCGCAAGTCCCTCACAGGAGCCTCATCCTAGGACTCTCCGGAACCTGATGGAACAAAAGACACCAAAGCAGCATGTTAATTACGATACCCAACGGGCAGCTGACATGCACAGACCTTGTCTGATATGCAGAGGTCCACCTGCCCCACCACCATCTTCGTTTCAGTTCTTTGAGGTAGCGCATCCAGGAGAAAGAGCTTTTTGGTTCTTTCTTTGGTGCACCTCAAGAAACAGGATCCACCTCCTCGTCCGTCACACACCTCCTGGTCCATGCACATTTGTGCTGCCCCTGCAGCCCCCGCACCTCAAGATCACCACAAGGAAGGAGAAAGCACCAGAGCAGACACAACTGATGCTAGAAGCGGAGAACAGGGGCATTAGGTGACCTTTCAAGGAAAGTTGGAGTCAGGCTGGGACATCGGAGAATTTAAAAGCTGATGACCCAGTGTGGAGGCCCCAGGAAATCTTTGGTGCTTGAAAGCCACCACCTGGACAGCTCGATGTATGACAGATGCTTCTCTGATCCATGAGCCTGGCTTTCAAGCCAGGTCTGCTGTTCCTTCCAGTTTTTGTGTTAGCCAATGTACAAAGGTTTGATTTTGTGGCCAGCAGCACAGAGCAGCATAAGCTCTGCATGTGCTGCATCCCACACCTCTACCCACTGACCAGTTTTCCATCTGCTTCCTCCCCACCAAGAGCCTTTTGGGGCTCTCCAGGCAGCTCTATGGTCCCCCTCACAGCACCTCCTAGTCACCGGGGAGGACGTGCTGTGGGTGGGCAGCACTTAGAGGGGATCTGGAGGACAGCAGCACTGCCCAAGGAAGCCTCAAGAGCAGGCTGCAGGACTGCACAGGACTGGGCTTCCTCAGGGCTTGGCATTTCCAGCTTCCATAACCAACTCCCTTTTCCCGGGCTGCGGCGGGAGAAGCAGCTCTGAATTCCTCGAGCAAGCCCCGTCCAACTCGTAACCACAAACAGCAAGGCTCGGCGGCTCCCAGGCACGGCCGCTGCTTATTTTCCTCCAGTGTGTTCCAGCGGTGCCGCACGACGCGCATCAGGCCTTCCCAAGGGACCCAGCCGCGTGGGAAGGGAGATCCCAGCGCTCCGCGCTCTGCCGAGCCGAGACCCCGGGCCGGAAAGCAAGGAGGACAGGCCGTGTGTGTTAACACCCCCCCGTAGCTCTAGCCACGTTGCTAACAACCCCTCTGCCCCAGGTTCAGCGACCTAGAGGCTGGTCTTGGGGCTCACCACGAGCAGCCGCTATGAAGGGCAACCCTCGAGCGGTGCGTTTGCCCCTCGATGCTTCTGCAGCCGCACGAAGCTCCCCGTGAGCTCTAGGCAGATGTGAGGATGCAGAAATCCCTCCAAGGGCTGCTGAGACACCCACACAGATGACCAAAGAGCTTTGCCTTTCCAGGGAAGTGGGTCCTGGCAGTTCGTGTGGGGGTGGCTGGGCTCCCGATCCAACAGAGGGCCGATGCCAACGCAGGAACCGCCTGGCGGCCCCGATTCTCTGTCAAACAGCTCGGCTGGTCTGCCGGGATATCCACCGTTTTTCATCTCCGGGTGCCCCATTATCCTGATGCTCCCACTTCCCAAACTTTACCCCTTGCAGGAGAGCTCTGAAATGTCCAGGCCTACAGGCCAACACCAGCCGCTGCTCCTGGCCTGGTTACCAGTGCAACTCTAGCGCAGCTCTGCGCTGGTGGCCAAAACGCGTGACTCAACCTAGGGCGTTCCTCGGTGCCTGGAGATTTGGGCAGAATGGAGCCGATCCCTCCTATCTGCCACCGGGAGAGGCAGGTGAAGGCAGCAGGGAGAAGCACCAGAGCAAGCAGCAAAGAACTCCCGTTTGGACCGTTGGGCCCCTTGGCCAAGGCAAATCAGGCCCTGGCAGGGAAAGACTAGTTTGGTACTTGCAGGTCAAACAAATGAGGAATTCGGTTTCGGGAAGCTGCAAAATAGTCTCAGCATGCGGAAGCACAGAGCTAAGGAGGTGGGTGAGGAATTCAGTAGCTGGTATCCAAAGAAAATGCATCGCAGAAGCACCTAACGTAGCTCCACCTCAGCAAACCACTGAGGGAAGCCGCAACGGTGCCAGACTCCCGCCCTGCACGTGCTGGGCCAAGAGCAAGAGCTAGGGCAGCTCCGAGACACCAGAGTCAACCACTCACCCGTGGTTCCAAGGTCCACGTGGACCACATCACTCCAAGACGGAAAACCCTTCCTGATGCCTCCCATTGGAACCCGAGTCCAGCTCAGCACGTCCATCGGCTGCAACCACGGCAGGTCCAGATGCAGCCGCAGAACAGGCAGAAGGATCGCGACACGCAACGAGGGGGGAACAAGCTGCGTGCAGGAAACATCTGCGCTCAAGCTGCTCTTCCGTGAGCAGTGGAGCTCACGGGAATATCGCAGCACGGAGCACAGGCCACTCATTCACATGAGCTCAAAACAGGGCCAAAAGCCAAACACAGAGGGACTTCTGCACTGCTCTCTGGAAAGCAAGAGGAGCTCGCTGAGATGGTTCTCAGAAGTTTCAAGGCTCAAACACCCCAGCTTATCTAGCTGCCACCCTGCTGCTGCTTTCCAGCAGGATCTGCGCTGAACGCACACAGAGGTTCAGGTTAATCCTGAATTTCAGGATGTTTCGTTCTGTCTGATCTTCTGGAAAGAACCGAGTTTCCCTTTACCCTCCTGCTTCTGCGAGAGCTCTCCTGCTCCCAGCGTTAAACCTCCGAGATGTTGGATTAAACATCAAAGTCGGCACCAACATCCGCTTCAGACCCAGCGCGAGCTCCTTGTGCCAGACGGCCGGTGCCAAAACCCCCCTTCCAGGGGCACGGATTTTGGCCTGCGCCATGAAGCTCTCTTGATATGATAGTGAGCTCGATGGGACGCTGACTTGTCAAGACAAAGCTGTAGCTTGTTCCTTCTCCATGCAGCTCCCAGGCCCATTGACATGTTAAGGATGTGCACTACCTCCATTATTCAGGAATGCAGGGCACAAAAGACGGGGCTGAAAGAAAGGAGCAAGCCCAGGAGAAGGCAGCTAATCCCAGCCACGCTTTCCCCCTCCCCCAGAGCCTTTCATTGCTCCCGGTTGCAGAATTTGAAGGCAGGAGACGGGCCCTGGCAGGGGGGACGCGACTGCCCTGGAAGCCCGTCCTCCCCGTGGCCGCTTATAGGACAAGAGTTGGGGGAAATGCAGCCCCGCTCCAGCTGTGTCTAATGCTCGCACAGTCGCATCACTGGGCTCTGCTAATTAGCCACCCCTGGCACATTAACACCATTGAAGCCAGGATGCAAAACGGCCGGGCAACTAACTTGCCCGTCCCTGCCTTGAGATTTAGGAGAGTTAGGAGAAATCCCGCCGACCTGAGCTGCTGTTTATCAATATGCTCATTAAAACAGATACTCATTTCACAATCTTTTTCCTGGTCAGACTCACCTATTTCTACCCACACTCGCTGCTTAACGTGACACATCCTGGGCAGGAGACAAACCATGACCCTCCTGTCGAGGTGAGACTCGGTTGCAAAGTCACCAACTTGTTCCTGAAGTCACAAGCGCCACTAAGAGCAGCTTCACGAGGGCTGTGGAGGAAGTGGTCACGGCAATTGCCACCTCCGAGAGGTTTCTATTTTGCTAGAGGAAGTGCCGGTAAATATTTAAAGGCCGCCTCTGAAAACGCTCCTGAAGAAGTGGGTTGTCACATCCTCGATATTGCTGAGCATCCAAGAGCTGCAGGAGGCCCGAGGTGGCGCTGCCGGGGCCTCCCCGCAGCCAAGACGCAGCTTTCCCGGCCACCCTCAGCTCCTCGCAGCTCCAAACCTGGAGTTTTGTGCTGCCAAAAAAGGCAGAACCCTTCCCAGAGCCCTTGCATTTGCATCTCGGTGCCTCCCTTTGCCCAACAACAAAACGCTCTGTTATCCCCTACCGGCTCCAAGCCTTTCCCAAGGGAAAAAAAAAACCCGGGACCAAAGAGACCGCCGGGATCACTGTGTGCAAAAGCGGCTCAGAGCCATGGGAAGAGCTAAATTCCCCCGTTGTGCTATGTCTGCCCCTTCAAAATCTGCCTTCCCTGCAGGAAGAGCTTCCAGCAGAGCAGAGGCACCCGCGTGAGGGCACCCACAGGAGGTGAGAGAAGGGGCGTGCGGTGGCAGCAGCATCTGCTCCAGCGCAGGGGGTGCACGAACCCTTCCCGGTACAAGCAGCTCCTGGAGGCAGAAGGCTCTGTGTCCCAGGCCTGGAAGAGCCGAGGAGGCGGTGGCCGGCGCTGGATACTTCCCACCGTGTAATTACAGGCATCTTAGTCAAACAGAGCCACTGCTTTCCCGGCCGACACATCAGGGAAGGAGCGTTCAGCAACAAGTCAGCGCGGAGGGCTCCAAATAACGACCACTTTCATCAGCTGCGGTCGATATTTCTTGTGTTTTCCGAGCTCACCCTTCCAGAAGGGAAGATTAGGAGGAAGGACCCCAAGTATCAACTCAAACCCTGGAGAAAAAACTGTCAGAGAGCCACATGGGGCACCTAAAAGTGCAAGGGGAAGAGGGGCCAAGGATCTGCTCTTGCCTCCTGGTGAAGGACCAGGAGTCCAAGGAAGCAAACGTGGAGCAGGCTCAAGAGCTTCGGTCCTCCCAGCAGGATCTAATGAAGATGATGGACAAGGGGAATTCACGCAGGTGAAGTTCAACACAGCCTAGGATTTGACACTGCATTGAAGGGCTGCGAGCAGAACCTAGTGCTAAATTGCCCAGGAAATTAAACGGCAAGAGGTTAAAAGCAAAAGAAGGGGGAGCTAAGAGCTACCTCTGAAAAGGCTGCACAAATGGCTCTTCTGAAGGCTGAAAGAGAACAGGCATTAATACGTCTAATACACACACACACATGTATGTGTGTGTATATATATATATATATATATACACACATAT